TCAAGCGATTCTCCTGCCTCAGCCTCCCAAGTAGCTCAGATTACAGGCACCTGCTACCGTGTCAAGCTAATTGTTGTATTTTTAGTAGAGACAGGGTTTCACCATGTTGGCCAGGCTGGTCTCAAATTCCTGACTTCAAGTCATCCACCCGCCCAGAGTTCCAAAGTGCTGGGATTACAGGCATGAGGCACTGCACCGGGCCTCACTTATCCTTAACATTTGTTGACCACTTAAAACTCTGAGTTATACTGTGTGACATGTGATAGCTACCTTATTTCATTACTTCATTTACTCCCTTGAAGCTTGGAGACTGATGGGCGAGGGAGGAGCCTGAGGGCTCCTGGGCCCTCACCTGTGGGAGCTGGGTGCATGGCTGTCTTGTCACTAGAACGAGCTGCAGGGAGAAACTGTGTGTCCTTGGGCATGTCCTGTGGGACCTCGCATGATGTCCTGAGTAGCAGAAAGATGGGAGAGTGATGGGTTGGCTGGATGATGACTGGCTGATATATTTTCTGCCCTCAGTTTTCACCATGGCCAGGATCTCTTCAGAGTCACGATTCAATGGAACTTATACCAAGTGTGCCCTGATTTGGGGGTGTTTCTCAGATGATGTGTAGTACCCCCACTCAGAAGAGCCAGAAGCCAAAGAAACTCAGATACAATTGATTTGCTCATTCATTCTCTCATGGGAATTGTCTTCTAAATTACAAACATTAAGCAGCGCAGAGAATGGTCTCAAGCTGGAAAGGATCTGGGAGGAAATGAACCGCTAAAGGGGTTATTTTCAGTTACTTTCACTTACTACTTTAAACTATGCTTTTATTGTTTGAGGTTTTTGCAGTAAGCACATACGGCTTACATAATAAAAAAAATTTCCATTTTGAAAAAACAAAAAGTGTGCAGGTTTATTGTAAAAAAGATTTTATTCCTAACGACTGATGGTGATGTTATGTGCCAAAATTATCTGGGGCTTCTCTTTCGATTTCAAGGATCCAGGCTGTGGATAACAGCTGGGTGCAGCTCTACCTGCCCTGACTCTCCCCATACACCAACTTACCCCATTCCTCTCTAAAGAAATCGCACATCTTAATGCTGGTTTTCCAGCCTCCAGTGCATCTCTGGCGATGTTCAAAACATAATTTTTTAAAATTAACTCATTAAAAAAGAGATCTTTGCTATAGGCCCTAGGGAGGCTAGGGGAAAGCAGAGGGAGATTAGTCGAGAGAATTAGAGATTTCTGACATCAAAGAGACCGTGTCACTCCTGAAACCAGATGCGGAGTCAGTGTTCTGCATCTCCATTTTTCTAACATCCACCACAGCCACAAGGCAGGCAGGTACTGTTCCTGAAAATTAGGTTACAAAATGCCTTTCCTATGCCATAACTTCTCCCGTGCATCGTTGCTTTTCTTGGAACTTGGCATTTCCCGCACATGCACATCGCACAAAATGTCAGCTGTAGGTCAGCAGACGTTACGATGGGGACAAAGCACATGGAAAAAAAGCAGCTTAACTGCTTCTCTGCTGCCTGCAAGCCCATCATTACGGGAACCGTTTTCAATGGAGGGAGCCCAGCGGGTCAGAACCATCCCCGCTGTGAGCCTGCCCCCGCCGAAGTCAGGAGGGGGGCATTCAATTCTCCGGGGAGCTAGGGCAGCGTTCTCCCTGGGAGATGGTGCCGGCCTAGAAGAGACGGGGTGCAGAGCGAGGCGGCGGCGCCCAGCTAGAGCGCGCCTCCTGGCTCGGGCCGGCCCTCACCTTTGTACTGCAGCGAGTCCTCGGTGTAGGCCAGCATGCTGGGGAAGGTGCTGCTGAGAAACAGGCCCAGGCTCGCCGTCCCCACGAACAGGAAGACGACGTTGTAGGAGAAAATAAGCAGCACTAGGAACGTCACCACCACGCCGACCTGTCGCGGCAGAGGTGGAGGCGGTTAGGAATTGCGAAAAGCTGAGCATCGGTGGAGGGAACCGCCAGGAGTCGGCGCCCCCAGACTTGGCGTTTCCTCTCTGGCCCCTGGAGCCCAGCTCTGTGACCCGCGCGCCACCCCGTGGACCGGGCAGGAACCGCAGTGTTCCCCGGGACCTTTCTGACATCTAGAAGGAAGCGTGGAAAGGAGACCCCAGCCTAGACGTTTTCCCACCTCGACATCTCCCCTAACAGCTACCGTACCTGCCGCGTAAGCGTTTGGCGACTGAAGACTGCCTGTCCCCACGGTCTTATCTGTAACCACGGGAACTCCACCCAAGCCAATTTCATCAGCTCTCTCTGCTCTGCCAGCCCTGGGGGTAGGAGAGTCCCCTATTTCTTTGTGAGAAGCTGCCTCTCTTCTCCGAAAAGCCAGGACTGCACAGGCAGGAAGCCCTCAGATAGTAGGGGAAGAGGGGTGGTGGCTGCAAGGGTCCCATTCTCTGGGAATCCTAGCCAACCTTCCAGGGAGAGGGCCAGAGGCTGCAGCAATCAGCTTGGTGCCCTCAGATTTGGCTCAGATTCCCATAGACAGATGCTAACCTACGGTTGAAGACCCAGAAATCTTTCTTTTCTTTCCTTTCCTTTTTTTTGACAGTGTCTCACTCTGTCGCCCAGGCTGGAGTGCAGTGGTGCGATCTCAGCTCACTGCAGCCTCAACCTCCAGGGCTCAAGCGATCCTCCCACCGCAGTCTCCTGAGTAGCCGGACTACGGGCGTGTGCCACCACACCTGCTAATTTTCTGTATTTTTAGTAGAGACAGGGTTTAGCCATGTTGCCCAGGCTGGTCTTGAACTCCTGGGCTCAAGCAATCTGCCTGCCTCAGCTTCCGAAAGTGTTGGGATTACAGGCGTGAGCCACGATGCCAAATCCTTCTAGTTCAGTAAAGGTCTCTGTCACACATGCATATTTTTGTTAATGTAACCATATTTCTAAGTTCTTTAAACACATTTTTATGTCTGCATTGAGTCATTTCTATGCAAGATGTATCTGGGAATAAATCCAGGCAGCACAAGATTTGGGGTCAGAAGACCCAGGTGGAAGTCCCAATGATGTTTCTTACCAGCTGTGGAACCCGGAAGTAGCTGATTGCTCTGATTCTTAACTTCCTAATCTGCAAAATGGGAACGCTATGCTAAAGAGTGGTGGTGAAAGAACATAAATGAAGGGGTCCTGTAAACTGTGGTGCTTCAGACAAATATCAGCCCTAGTATTCCTCTGTGGGCTTTTCTTAGATGTCTCAGGAGATAAGGATCCTCTATAGCAGCCTATGGCTTTGAGGTAAAAATCTCCTGGATGAGGACATTTGTTTCTAAAAAAAAAGGTAAGTACAGAATATAGAGCTATGCAAGAAATCTCATCCAGCTCCCAATACCTCCACTTCTGGGCATGCAGAAAGGAAAAGGCTTTCAGAGAGTCAGGATCCTGGGAGATTTGCTCCAGCTGGAAAATCAAACCAGTGGTCCCCAGTCCTTGAGGCCTTTACTCTCCTCTAGCAGCCCTTCGGTCTCTGCCACAGGAGCTGTTAGGTGGAAGGTGTTCTTGAGGCTCAGAGTCCTTACCCAGGCAGATTTCCTGCCCTGGGGAGGGATCAGCCACAAAACAGTGGCTGAAGGAGACAAACACGTTCCCTTCACAATGGAAATGGAAACACAAAAGACTTCTTTCATGCAGTAAATATGAAAGTCGTAGCATATCTATGGTTCCAAAGGTCATGTCTTTCTTTCTTTGGCATGGAACACACTCCCTGAGATCCATTTGTTCTTGCTTCCCCCTCTACTCACTCAATGTTGGGATGGCTCAGGATTCTATTCTGGCCCTTCCATATCCACAGTGCCCTGCTCCATGCTTCACCTGCCTCTACAGCAGGGATGCTTATATCTATCCCTCTAGCCATCAGCTGTGTCCAGGACTGTGGACTTGCACCTAAAGCTGCCCCTTTGATACAGTCAGTCCCTGGATGACTAACCATGTGGCCCAAACAAGACCTTTCACTTCCTCTGCTAATCCTACTCCTGCCCACATCAAGTGAGAGTGTCCCTGTCATGCAGTTGCTCAAATCCTGTGTCTAAGGTCCTTGATTCCTCCTTTCCTTATCTCCCACACCTGGGTCAGCAGCAAGTCCTGCCCACACCACCTCAAAAAACATGTTAGATCTTTGTATTGCTCCGATCCATCCAGACCACCCCCATCCCAGCCACCTCCCTCTTGCGCCTAAACTACAATGACAGACAATCCATACTTGACTCTTGCCAGCTACGGTCTGTTCTTCTACACTAGAGTGCGCTTTTAAAATGTAATGCAAGCCGGGCACGGTGGCTCATGCCTGTAATCTCAGCACTTTGGGAGGCTGAGACAGGTGGATCACCTGAGGTCAGGAGTTTTTAGTATATTGACCAGCCTGGTCAACATGGTGAAACCCTGTCTCTACTAAATATACAAAAAATTAGCCAGGCATGGTGGCGGGCACCTGCAATCTCAGCTACTCAGGAGGCTGCAGCAGAATCGCTTGAACCGAGGAAGCGGAGGTTGCAGTGAGCCAAGATCACACCATTGCATTCCAGCCTGGGTGACAGAGTGAGAGTCTGTCTAAAAAAAACAAAACAAACAAACAAAAAATGCAATGCAAGTGGGTGGACATAGTGGCTCCTGTCATTAATTCTAGCACTTTGGTAGGCTGAGGTAGGAAGGATCACTTGAGCCCAGGAGTTCGAGACCAGCCTGGGCAATATAGCAAGACCCTGTCTCTATAAAAAATAATAAGTTTTAAAAATGCAATGCAAGCTATGTTAGATGGAAATGTGAAACATGATGGGACACCTGTATAAGTGTCATTTACTTCATAGCATGAATAAACGTATCTGAAAAAAAAAAAAAAAAAAAAAAAAAAAAAAAAAAAAAAAGAAAAAGAAAAAAATGCAATGCAGACCTGCTTAAAACGTGTTAGCTTCCCGCCTGCTTAGGATAAAATTCAAAACCTGGCTTACAAAACCCTCAGGATGTAGCCCCTGTCTACCTCCCCATCCTCATCTCTTTCTGCTCCCCATCCTCCACCATGCCTACTATGCTCTCCCCAAGTCAGCCTCATACCCCCAACCTAGGCCTTTGAACGCAGGCCTTTAAAGCTTAGCCAGGCCTGCTCACCTCCTGCCTTCAGGGGCTGGCACTTTCTTGATAGTGACTGTTCAACTTATGAGCCTGGGACAGATGCCGGGGCTGGGAAGCTGCTGCTCCTGCTCCTCTCCCTCCACCTGGCTACCCCATCTACAAACCACATTCATTTCCAGCCAAACCTCAAAGACTGTCACCCTGAAAATCTCTAGATTTGGGGAAGTTTGAAAAACACCCAAGTCTTATTTTAGCTTTGGTGATAAAAGACTAAGTACAACCAGGGTGAACTATCAGCTCCAACCAACTCTCTTCCCACACAGTGTGGCCCCTGCCTCAGCCAGTGAGTGACTCAGTCTGGCACTGAGCCTCCATTCCCACTGACTACACCCCCTCACCCTCCATCTATGCCAAGGCACGCCGCCCTCCTCTGGCCGGCTGTAAGCTCCCTGAAAGCAGGAGCCTTGTCTTCCAGAACTGGGCAGCTTGCATTTTGCAGCAGGGTTTTGCACACAGCACAAACACACTAAGTCAGGAAGTAGCTGTTGAGCTCCAGGAGAATGCTGAGAACAGGGTGGCCATTCGTTTAACCTAGAGAGGAATACTTGGAAGTAGTCACAGTGAAATGACACAGGCACTTTGCATCTGCACAGGAGAGGCTTGCTCAGGGCCACTCAGCTGCAGTTCCTAAGCAGGGTGCCCACAAAAGCACCCGGAAAGCTTCCAAAACAACCCAGAGGCCCAAGCTCCTCTCCTTACCTCCTGAATCAGAATCAGGAGTAGGGGTCCATGATCCTATTTCTTCTTGTTTTTGTTTTTTTTTTTTGAGACAGAGTCTCCCTCTGTTGCCCAGGCTGGAGTGCAGTGGCACTATCTCGGCTCACTGCAACCTCTGCCTCCTGGGTTCAAGCTATTCTCCTGCCTCAGCCTCTAGAGTAGCTGGGATTACAGGCGTGTGCCACCATACCCGGCTGTTTTTGTATCTTTAGTACAGATGGGATTTCACTGTGTTGGTCAGGCTGGTCTTGAACTCCCGACCTCGTGATCTGCCCATCTTGGCCTCCCAAAGTGCTGGGATTACAGGTGTGAGCCACCATGCCTGGCCTTTTCATGACCCTATTTTCTAAAAGCAGCTCCAGTGAATCTGATGTATTTGGGAGTCACTTGTTCCAGGACAGTGGTTTCCTAAGCTTGCCTGATGATATAATTCCCCCAGGGCATTCATTTAATATATAGATTGCTATGCCTCCTCCTGGACATTCAGATTCATTCAGTCTGGGTTGGGCCCAGGAACCTGATTTTCCCTTTTAAAACCCAGCACTCCAGGTGAGTGTTTATGGGCAATGCCTAACACACGTGGTTGCTTCAGACCTTTATTTTCCCAAACCCAGATTTTCACCCACTATCCTCTGTCTTAGCAATTGGGCTTGTGTCTGACCTAGAGGAGGAAGCCAGGGCTGGCCACCATGTCTGTGTCCTTCCTCTTCTGCAAGCTTTTCCCTTTGATATCGTTTCACCCCAGCTCCAAGGACAGAAGGCCTTCCTCCTTGCTGAGCTGAGCGCTTCCCCTGCCCCTGCTCTCCATCCCATCTCCCCTCTGTCAGGGCCTTCCTCACTCACTCTCCCACAATGGTATTTTCATAGACCCCTCCTCCTACTAGGTATCCTCCCTTTACCCTCTGCCTATCAACAGGCTCATACCACCCGAGTCCTGCAGAACACAACTCCCTTCAACTCAAAAATATTTACAGAGAAATGCAAATTCCTCCACTGCTCATCTCCCTCTCACCCTCAACCTCTTGAGTTTGGGTTTACCCACCTACTTCCCATCTATATTGAACTGAAATTTCTTACTTGAGGGTCAGCTGGCACAAGGTCAAATCCAAGGGCCTTTCTCAGGGATCATGATCTTTGTCTCTGAAACTGCAGCATAATGTCCAAACCCCACTCTCTGCTACAAACTTAACCAAGGAAATGCTTTCTTACCTGGGCTTAGTACCCTCATTGGGCTCCTTGGAAAGGTAGTGAGTTACCTGGGCTTAGTACCCTCATTGGGCTCCTTGGAAAGGTAGTGAGTTACCACCTGGGCTTAGTACCCTCATTGGGCTCCTTGGAAAGATAGTGAGTTACCTGGGCTTAGTACCCTCATTGGGCTACTTGGAAAGGTAGTGAGTTGCAGTTACTAGAGGTGTTTAAGCAGAGAGTGAACCCCTTGGAAGGGATGTTATAGAGGTGGCTCAAGCTTTTTGGGAGATTGGACTAGACGATTCAGCAGAAGTCTGTAATGTGGACCCCTGCATCATAGATGGCGACATGGATGGACGCCAAGGCAAAAGTCTTAACCCACTGCTCAGGCCCAGACTTCCTGCCTCCCAGGCAGACCAGTTCCTTGAAGGTCATCCTCCATACCCTTCTGCCAACTTAAGAATCACCTAGGGCTGGGCAGAGTGGCTCATGCCTATAATCCTGACACTTTGGGAGGCCAAGGCAGGTGGATCACTTGAGAGGTCAGGAGTTCAAGACCAGCCTGGCCAATGTGGTGAAACCCCATCACCACTAAAAATACAAAAATCAGCTGGGCATGGTGGTGGGTGCCTGTAATCCCAGCTACTTAGAGGCTGAGGCAGGAGAATCATTTGAACTTGGGAGACAGAGGTTGCAATGAGCTTAGATTGCACCACTATGCTCCAGCCTGGGTGACAGAGTAAGACCCTATCTCCAAAAAGAAGAATCACCTAGGAGAGCCAGGGCCCAGCCCAGAGGTGATGACTCTGAAAGCTGCAGGATCCCTGGCCTCCACCACTTTCCACTGGCTGGAGGGCTCTGACCAGCTGGGGACCAAGGTAAACACAGGAGGACCAGGGCCAGCACTGGCTTTCCTCATGCTGTCGGCCGGCTGTCAGCACGGATGGGCTTCACATACTGCAGCCGGTACCTCCTACAGACCCTTCCTTTTTATGCTTTAAGGGTATAAGATCAGAGGCCCAGAGAGGGGAAGGGATTTTCATGGTCACATAGGAAGGCTCCACCTCCCAGGCTCCCACCCCTTCCTCGTCACATTCTCTCCCCTCTCTTCCGTCTACTCCTGCATTCCCATCCTGCTGGCAGAGCCCAGGTCTGGGCAAATGTCCTGGGGTAGGGCCAGGAGGAGAAGGCTTCTCCTGGGTCCCACAGAAGTCAGAGGAGGCTATTCAACTGCTTACCACGTTGATGAAAACCATGGTGGCCGGCTTCATTCTTGAGGAGATGGGAATAGAGAGGAGCCGGCCCAGTGTGATGAAGCCCCAGAAGAGGCTGGGGAGGTAGCCGGCCACCTTGTGTCCCACAGACAGGGGCTTCTCCACGGCATAGCTGTACACGAAGGCAGAATAGGCACCCTGTGGAGAGACCGGGCACCACTGAGCACACCTGCAGCCCAGCCAGACAACGACCCTCAGGAAGGGAGCCCAGGCTGGGCAGGTGTGTTGAGGGCAGTGGGAGGATTGCCTGTTCCTGTTCCCAGAGGCTCAGCCAGGGCTGGGCTTGGAGCCAAGGCTACATAGCACATTGGGGCCTGAGCTGAGGACAGAACATGGGGTGCCTTAGCTTACAGACTGCACCATGGAGACCTAGGGGTTCCAGAGAGTTGGCTCTTCCTGGTTGAAGTGGGGAGCACTGCCTGTCTGCACAGGACCTCCATGGCTACAGGTCCTGGGCAGACAGGCACTGCTCCCCACTTCAACCAGAGAACACCACTTAAAAAAAAAAAAAAGTGTGTGCGGCCAGGCACAGTGGTTCATGCCTGTAATCTTAGCACTTTGGGAAGATGAGGCGGGTGGAAAAACTGAGGTCAGGAGTTCAAGACCAGTCTGACCAATATGGTGTAACCCTATCTCTACTAAAAATACAAAAAGTAGCCAGGTGTGATGGCATGTGCCTGTAGTCCCAGCTACTTGGGAGGCTAAGGCAGGAGAATTGTTTGAACCCGGGAGGTGGAGATTGCGGTGAGCCAAGATCGTGCCACTGCATTCCAGCCTGGGAAACAGAGCAACACTCCATCTCAAAAAAAAANAAAAAAAAAAAAAAAAAGTGTGTACATGCATCTCGTTTTACAGATGAGAAAGCAGACAGAAGTGACTTGCCCAAGGTCACGCCAAGTGCTGGAAGTCAACCAGTACTGTCACGAGTATTTTCCACCAGCTCATCTAAGTTTTTAGGGCTTTTTCTTTGGAGAGGCCATCATAAGGCAATCAGTTGATCAGCCATTCATGACTGTCCTAATATAATCCTAAGAAGTTTCTGGGAGAAGGTGCTAAGTAATGCAACAGAGGTCACTAGAAATGAACAGCTGGGCCTAAATTCCACCTGAAGCTTGATTACAACACTGGCTTGAGACACTCAGGTTTGTAATGTATTACAGGAAGCAAAGGGTTTATATATGGCATGACCTCTAATTGGGGAATAGGGCACCGCCCCTTTAAAAAATGCAGGTAGCCTGCCCCAACAACAAACCAGTTAGGCCCCTACCTACAGCTCTAACAAAAATAAAAAACAGCTGGCCAAGACAGAAGCCCATAGTACCAGTGCACTGCGACTGATTCTGGAGACAGTCTCCCTAGGACTTTAAATTTTTGAATCAACTGTACTCCAGGCGAGGTCTCCAGGAAACCTTCATGCTCCTCTCTTTCTCTTGCCATTCCCAGACTGGAGTCTCAGGGTGTAGGTTCCCCAATAGGGGGCGCTGTCTGAGGCAGGCTCACCGTCAACCCGTCCGTCATGAACAGGACCAGGGCGGCTGTGATGTGGATGGCGAAGAAGGAATAAGGGGCCCCTCTGAGGTTCTTCCTTTGGCAGCAGCTGAACAGGTCCTCATGCCCTGGAGGAGGCACAGGGAGAGCAGGGGTGAGTCTCAGCTTCTGTGCCCTCCCTCTGCATGTCCCAGAGACGTGGCTGGCAGTCAGAAGAGCCCTGTGGGATGGGGCCCACCTACTGCCTCCACCTTCGCTACCTTTTCGTTAGGAACAGTCCCTGTCCATCTCCCCGTCTTGGTGGAACCAAAGCTCAAAGAGGTCAAGTGACTTGCCTAAGGTAACAAAAGGCAAGGCTGAGCAGAATGGAGGTTGGAGCCAGAAGTCTGCCTTCCTCATGCTCTTGGCCAGGTTGCACCACCAGGGCCAAGGTTTTTTTAAAAAAAGAAAACATTATCATCTGTGGCTGGACGCGGTGGCTCACACCTGTAATCCTAGCACTTTGGGAGGCTGAGGCGGGTGCATCACCTGAGGTCAGAAGTTCAAGACCAGCCTGGCCAACATGGCAAAACCCTGTCTCTACTTTAAATTATTTTAATTACTTTAATTACTTTAATTATCCAGGTGTGGTGGCGTGATCCTGTAATCCCTGCTATTTAGGAGGCTGAGGCAGGAGAATCGCTTGAACCTGGGAGGCTGAGGTTGTGGTGAGCCAAGATTGCGCCACTGCACTCCAGCCTGGGTGACAAGAGTGAAACTCCATCTCGAAAAAAAATGATTATCACCTGTGATTTAGGTTCACTCTCTCTGGGAGAGGGGTTACCAAGGAAGCCTCAACATGAGGCTGTGAGGATGCAAATTTATTAGAGCCCCTACCTGGGTGTGACTGAAACTTTGGGGGCAGTGACGAGGGGTCTTCCTTCTCAGGAGGCTGTGTCTCCAAGGCAAGCTCATCAGCAGACAGAAGCAGGGGCCTTCTCTGGGGGCAGCAGGTCAGCAGCCGCTCCTTGGACAGCAGCATCAGCACAGCCATGGGCACTGGAAGCTGAGGAGCAGGCAGAGGGTCAGGAGAGCCCTGCCCTGAGGCTCCCCCTTCCCACGCCTGGCCTCTGCACATACTGCATGTGCATAGTCCTGGGAGAGGACAGCTCTTTCCCAAGGGTGCCCAGCTAAGAGCTGAGCCATCCTCACCTAAGAAGCCAGGTGCCCTGACCAAGGTAGGAGTGGGGAGGCTTGGGGTAATTGCTGCCTGATCTTTGCCATACTCGCTTCCCTGAAAAGACAGATACTTGTCACATGCAAAGCTTAGACTCAAACTCTGCTGGCCCAGGAGAGGTGTTGGGTGTAAGCTTGCTGGAGCGTCACACCTCACACTCCTTCATGCTGGTAGGTCACGTGATGCTTTACAAAGCAACTTTGCTTTTGGGCATCACACCTCTACCAAATATGCTGGGGGACTATTATCCCCATTTTCCAGGTAGCATAACTGAGGCTTGACGTTATCACTTAGTTATAACCTGTTAGAACTGGAAGAGATCTAAGAGGTAAACTAGAGACTGAGAGACTGCCCTGGTCACACAGCAGACTCAGGGCAAAGCAAGACTGGAACCTGGCATCCTGATTCTTCCAGTGCTGTCTCCACCTAAGGAGCTGCCTTGGTGATGTTTATCCTAGCAGGGCACAGAGGCTCTCCTCAGAGGCTTGAAAACACAAACGTGGCCTCCTTTGGATTAAAAAATACACATTTACGAGCAGCCCATACACATAAGCCCAATATTCAGCTTGCTGCAGTTTATGCTAAATCTGAGCTCCTTCAGAGCGATGGGAAATGGCTCCCGCTTCTGAAGTTGCCTGAAGAAGCTTCTACCGCATTCCTCAGGGGCTCCTACCTGTGTCTCACCACTGGCTGCCAGGAAGTATCTCAGCAAGTCTAACTACGGTCCTTTCTGCTGCAACTTCAGCCCAGTTCCTTTTGCTTAGGAAGGAGAGGAAGCCCAGGGAGCTGCGGATGTCTCCCAGAGGTTGGTGAGAGTGCCTAGCTATTGGGCTCTTCCCGGCCCACAAGAGAGGCCAGCAGGGTAGAGATGGAAGGCCAGCAGATTGCCAGCCCCTGCCTGGTGCTCTTCTGGGGAAACCCTTCCCTGCCCCTGGAGGCAGGCTGGCTCTCACCAGTACTTCCCCAAATCACCCAACAGGAGTGAAAGACAAAAACCACCCCTGTGTTGGTATCTCCCTATGGTGACCTTGGGAGCCTTTCTGCACACTCAAAAAGAAGTCAAGGTCAGACATGGCCCCTGGCAGTCAGGCCTGAGCGGGGAGAGAATAGCCCCTGCCCTCAGGAGGTCCGAGCCTTAGTTGGGGAGACACGGCCCTCCCTCCAGTGTGAGGGGGAAACAGGAAACCCACCCACAGAGGCCTGTAGTGGCAGAGTGCCTGAGTAAAGGCCAAGGGGAAACAGCTGTAGAAGAGGCGTAATCACTCAGGTGGGGCTTTCCAGGGAGGTGGGTGCTGGGAAGGACTTCACAGAGGATTGGCTGGCATTGCTGGCAGGAACACACCCGATTTTATAAGAATTCCATTCAAGGAAGACAGCCCCACCTTAAAAGTCAGAGAAGGCCAGGTGGGGTGTGCATGTGTCCATGCACGTGCGTGTACGTGCGTGTGCATGTGTGCGTGCATGTGCGCCCACATGACTGCATGCACAGCCCCATCTTCCTCTATACTGGACTGTTTATTTTCAGACACAAACCAATAGAAAAAGTCAGGAAATCCTGCAGCAAACAAAGTCCCTTCAGTCTGCACTTCGTGGGGCAAGAGAGAATAAACCTCCGGCTTAAGCCAGAGCTTCCAGCTTCCTGGTCTGGGAGTCCCAGCCTAGAGGTTCTACTGACACTACTCCTTTCCTTCGAAGTTCCCTCCTGGAAGGCACAGGCCCAAAGCTGCATTGTTTCCAAAACAATGGATGGGCATGGGCTGAAAAGGGAAGGAGCAGAGGGAGATAGTGTGTTTATGAGACCTCCCAGAGGAGATTCAGACCAGGGAAAGGAAATCTACACAGGACGGGTGATGAGGGGGCAGCAGGTAGATGGTACAGACCTGTGCTTCGGTCAGGGCTTCCAGCTGGGCTCAGCTTCCTACCAGTCCCTTGTCAGGGCCTTGAGCTGCTGATGGCATGACACCCCCACCCTGCCCTCCTGCTCACTGGAATGGTGGTCTCAAAGTCTCCTCTGCCTGAGTCCCTCCCGCCTGCCCCAGAAGAGCTGATAAGTCCACCCACTGCAGAGAGAGGCTCTAGGCCACCATGACAAGCAGCATGGTGCCTCCACCCCACAGCCAGGACTGTGGCCACTGGAATGCTCCCTGCCCCCAGCCCAGGAGCCAGGGCTGCTCTGGTGTTCCCGACAGTCCTCCCCAAGCCAGGCGGATGGGGTAGGGGGTCTCGCCGCCTGACGCTCTGGCTCCAGCCTGGGCTAATGTGGGAGATCCCAACTTGGGTTGCAGAGCACCAGAGGTTTCCAGCAAGAGACCAAAGTCAGTGCTGACTTGGCAGGGGCGTACAAAGCGGGCACGGGAGCTCCCTGGGTCCCCTCAGTCTCTCCCAGCTTCCTCCCCCAGGTGGCCACTTACAGCTGGGTCAGTGTCTGACCCAGTGATGGGGTGAAGTGGTCTCTCTGCTGTTCCCACCATAGGCTGTCTTGGCAGGCAGGGCCCCTTAGAAGAGGTCATCTTGTCTGTCTCCCAGCTTCCACAGGAGCCCCTGACAGCAGGGCACAGGAGAATCCCACCATGGATGAAGGGCCCCAGAGAAAAACGCCATTTCCTGCCAGGGTCTGTCCAGGGCCTACTTCATCTGGCCTTGGAGGGAAAAACTAGTTTCCCACAGAGCCTCAGATAATTTGATAGTGGACCCTGGTTTTCACCATGCTCAGCCTGCTCACTGTTTTACCTTCCTTGAGAACTGCAATCACAAGTCACTGAAGGACCAGGATTGGGGGGACCACAGGGAGGGTTAGTTCTCCCATCCTCCTGCCTCCTCTGGGATGCACATCAGCACCAGCAGGTTTCTCAGCATCTGAAGAATCTGCACTGGGCATGGGGTGGACTCGTGTGGACTGTCCACTAGCTCCCTGCCCAGACCGCCCCAGGGACACTCACATTGATGAGGGCCATGATCCAGAAGGCATAGGACACTCGGGTCCCTGCCCCGTCCTTTGGGGGCGGCCCTGGGAACGTCTGGTTGGACCAAGGCTTGGCCTCTACGTGGTGCTGGCCCAGCACCCTGGAGACGTGGAACAGGTGGCTTCGGGAGGTGGCGTTGGCGGTGCTATTGGCAGGCAAGCAGTTGGCCTCAGACAGGAAAGGGTCAGCAATAAGGGGGCTCAGCAGAGCGCCAAAGCCCACAAAGAAGTGGAGCACCTGGGGACAGAGAAAAGGTGGCAGGTGGGGGTGTGGTTCAGTCTTCAGCCCGGGGAAGCCATGGCCTGGTGTCCAGCCCAGAGTACCCACAGTGAGCCCCCTCCCTAACCTCACCCTGTGCCCCATCTGGGGCTGCTGCCCAGCCCTGGAGTGGGGAGCCATGGTGGGTAGGAAGCAGGAGAGGTGAGGAGAGGTGAGGAATGACACTCCTCTCTCGATCACCCTGCCGGCCTGAGATGACTTCGGTGACAGTGGGCAATTCCCTCCCCATATCTCTTAATCCCCAGCTGGGACTGATCCCCATGTTAGCATCCACTAGCTAACACCCCAAAAGGAAGGGGGCACAAAAAAGGGAAGGGCGGGCTGAATCCTGGGTGACTTGGGGGAGAAGGAATAAGAGACAGGAGACAGGAAAGGAGAGGAAAGAGAGGGAGCCAAACCCTGAGTCACATCCCCTTTCCAGTTCGCAAAGAGCTTTCTCTCCTGAGCGCTTAGGCTCCTGGGACACCCAACAGTGAGGGCAGGGATCACTGCCCTGCCTTACAGATGGGGAAACTGAGTCCAGAACATACTAACCCGGCTGTAAGTGGCCACCTGGGGGAGGAAGCTGGGAGAGACTGAGGGGGCCGGTAGCTCCCGTGCCCTCCGCAGCCCCCAGCCCTGTGCATGCTGGCCTGGCTCACCTGGAGGAAGACGGCTGAGTCCTTCTGGTACATCCTCACCAGCTGCATGTTGGCTACGGTGTCGATGCAGCCCATGGCCAAGCCCGCCAGCGCCATGACCGAGGCCAGCACCTTCACGTCACGGCAGAAGGGGATGACGGCAAACACCAGGGAGATGGCCAGAGAGGAGGTGAACAGGGCCCATAGCGACTGGGCCAGGCTGCAGAAAGGAAGAGCCGTGTCAGGGGAGGGGCTCTCCTCCATTTGCTGGGTGGTCTGGGCAGCCAAGACATTTCTCCCCCTCTAGTAGAAAAGGAAGAGAGCTGAGGAAGAAGCTGCCCACTTAATAGCTGTGAGCAAGCTGTCAATATCTGTCTGCTCAGATAACAATCTACCTCACAAGGTGGCTGCAGGACTCTTCACAAAGCCTTGCCACTATTATTCTACCTACACACAATTGTCTGTGATTTCCTTAAACCTTAAAGTGTTTACTTAAAAGCAATTAATGCAAAAATATTTCCCACCCCTTTCAGGGAACCTGCTTTGAGCATCTCAAGAGACCTGTGCCATGGCATGCAACCACAGGTGGGACACGGATGGAACCTGAGCCTGGAAGTCCCTGAGCTGGGTATTTCCTCCTCCTCAGGAATTGGCACTGGCTGCCCTGTGCCCTCTCCACACAGGAATGCTGAGGCAGCCATTGCCTCACAGGCAACAGGCCTAGGCCACCTGCACCAGTGCCCACAGCCCAGGTATTTGGGTGATTTGCTGACCCCTGTAGCAGACACAGGTCACAGGCTCTGTGCCTGGCAAATGTGCAGAAGGTGAGAGAGGAGGTGCTTCGGCCATCCCCACTGAGAGATGACCGTGTTGATCTTTCCTTTCTTCAGACCATAGAAAAGCCCACAGCAGGCAGGCAGAGGGCCTGCTACCCTACCAGTGAATGAATGAATGAATGAATGAATGAATGGTGAATGAATGGAGTGTCTAAGCCTCTGTCAAGATCTTTTTTGGGACACTGTGTCCAATAACTAGACTCTCAGAGAAAGGATAAAGACTTGTATTTTCTGGGGCCAACCTGAAAGGCTAATGTCAGAGAGGAGAGATTGGGCAGCAGGAAGGTTCTGGAGTTGTAGAGGAACTTTCTCAGATTCTGAAAAGTGAGAGAGCCACCCTCCCATCATCAGCCTCCACTGTGGCTGCTGGACCTGGAAAGGTGGGAGCTGAGAGAGGGGAGGGGAAAAGCCCTCTCTGAGTTTCACACTGAAGAAAAGGGGGAGCCCCCAGCGACCCCTCAGGCTGTCTTCCCAGGGCTTCTGCCCCTGACTCCCTTGGCTCTTGGCCATGGCCCTCAGCTATCTCATCTTGCCCCATTTTTGATTAAATCCTTTATCAGGACGGCTCTGCTGATAGCAGCAGTTCGTTATTTTCTCCTTTCTTGTTTCCAGGCTGATCTGCTGGGAAGATTACCGATCATGACAGTCATGACCCCAGCGTGTTCCCAGATCAGAACTCATCAGGAGGGGAGGGGGACCAACCTCAAGGCCAGCTGTTAGAAGGAGATGGAGGGAGGCTGTGTCATGGGGAGGCCTGTTCAGGTCCCTTCTGACTCCCCCTGGGGTCCCTGCTCTGCCAGTCCCCAGAACTGAGAGCCAGGCTGTGCCGCACCCCCGCCCACTGCCCACTGCCTGCTGCCACTCGCTGCACCCCCGTATGCTTCTGCTCCAGCATCCTCCTTGGCACCTGGCACAGAGGCAATGCAAATATACAACACGGACTGATGAAAAGCAGGCAGCTCATCATAGTTCTCTTTCTTACCCCTCCCTTTCCCTGGACGAGACAAGCTAGGTAGCCTCCTGGGTGGCCTGACTTTAGGGATAGCAAGCGGATCCCCTGTCAGCGCTCTCAGATATCCCCCTTCTGATCCTGGAACCAGGACGTGACATTTCCATCTCCTCACTCACCACTTTACGGTAAGCAGGGATGGCCCAAAGCAAGTGCAAAACTCTCTTGAAGGACTAACTCATTATCATTGTTGCTTTAAATCCTGAAGCAAAGTGATGAAGCAATTGGTCCTGCAGCACAGTCCTGAGGGGTGGGAGCTGGGATCCACAAGCTGACAGCAGCAGGGGCTGCACAGAGGTATGGGAAAGGAAACCAGGATAATAGCAAGTGCGACTGTGGTCTGCACGACCACTGCTAACCTTTGTCATTTGGTGCATATGACCAGGCTGTGAGGCAAGCTTTGTCATTGTGCCCATTTGACCCATGAGTAAACTCAGGCTGAGAAAGGCTAAGATAGCAGCAGACAGAGCCTGGATTCTAACCAAGGTCTTCTGGCTTGATAATCCGTATGCTATGCTGCTTTTCCATGGAGGAGTGTGTGTGTGCACATGTGCGTGCATGTGTATGGGTATGTGACCGAGTTACTCGCTAATGGCTCCACTTAGAAGGTGCAAACGCAGGAGGGAAAGGAGGGAGCCATGGACCAAGCCAGGCTGGAGAGGGGAGCGCCAGCCGAGAATAGGAGACCAGATTTTGCAGAGTGTTGATGGCAGGGCTAGGACGCACTGGAGAGCTTCCGCAGTCTCTAGAACACACGCGTCTAACACCCCTCTGCAGGGGTTAGCAGAGATCTACATGCTCACTAGCATCACTGCTGGCTCCACCGCCAGCTTCCCCAGGCATCTGCCTCCGCCCCTTCATTGTGGAAGCCATGTCTGGCCCCACGTTTGGCCTTGCAGAGACACTCAACCCAGGCTTCTGGATGTGGCTAGTGACTGGCACAGTGCTTGGGGAATGCTTGTCTTGCCACCTCACACGGGATGGCCTGGTAGAAGGGACTGGTTACTGCTGGGAGGCCAGTGTGGGAGTTTTGCTAGTTTATCTGATAGGGGTGACAGAGATAGAGGCAGAGAAGGAATAATGTAGGGACGGGTTGCCAGAAAGGTGCCAGGTGCACAGTGGGGGATCAGGAAAAGGGGAAGGGGTCAGGAAGGGATGAAAGGGGTCAGGAAGCCCTCCCTCTTCAGGTCTTGCCTCTATCCTGTTCCCTGCTCTTCATCTCCTCTCACCTGTCATTCTTGAGAAGGACACTAGGTGCCCACTGGGGGCATGGTTGGTCCCAAGCTCAGCCACAGGACAAGGGAGGGATAAAGAGAGAAAAGAGGGAAAAAAAGGGAGCCTGGAGAGAACCAAGCCTGGGAAATCCCCTCCCTGCATCTCCCTGGGCTGTGATTTTAGCTTGACAGGCTTGGAGGTTAGGGGGATGGAGACCTGTTCCCAATAAATGGGGACATCTGTGCCACAGAAAATCTTGTCTGTAGATCCCAGGCTGCCCTCCCTCCCCAGTTGCTTCCACAGGGCTGTGCCTGGGCATTCCAAACATCAGCCTGAACAAATTTCTTTAGACTGATAGGCTGTTGCCAAGGAAAAGGAGGTCCCAGACACATCCCAGAGCCAGACTGAAATACATTTATTGCCTGTTTTAAATGGCTTGGTCAATAGCCCCTTCTAGGAATGTGGATAATTAAAAATTACAGAATAATCATGTCAAAACAGTTTTGGAGTCGAGGATGTAGTGGGATCTGTAATCAGAATACTGGGTTCTAGGCCCACCTTGGCCACTTCCCAGTGGTGTCACTTGGGCAAGCCACTTAGCGCTTAGCCCCTCTGAGCCTTAGTTTCCTCTGCTGTAAAATGGGGACAACAAGCTCTGCATGAGATTGAGGCTTCCAGGAGGAGTCCATGTGATGTGACATTTCATCCTCTGCTCACTCTCTGGGATTTTCCCCTGGCCACCTGCCACCCCCTCCCAGGTGCTCACTGCCTCCCTGCTGGCTTCCCCAAAGAGCAATGTCAGGCCCAGAGAACTGCACTGAGCTGACAGGATGCAGAGACCAGTGCCAGCTCCCAGATTCCACTGCCCCCAGGCCTGCCCCTGTTCCTGCTGCAAGGGCCTTTGGTGTGGCCCTGGGAGGCTGGCCCAGGAACTGTTGGAAGGAGGTATGTCCCTTGTCCCCTGCCCCACTCGCTCCCCACCCTGGGCAACATCTCAGCTAGCGTGGCAGCAATGACACCTGTCTCTCATTTTACAGATCAGGAAACTGAGGCCGAGACAGGGTAAAAGAGAGGAATAGAACTGAGCCAGGATCCAAAGTCTTAGCTCCCAATCCAGGCAAAGCCAGCAGAGTGGCAGAGTGGCATTGATCTTCCCTTCGTTAATTCAGGCCAATTAAGAGCCTCACTTTCCCCAAGACCCAGAGAGACCCACGACATAGCCTGGACAGTCTGGAAAACCTACTTTAGGAACCCTCAGAAATGACCAAGTTACTTATTAATGGCAGAAGGTATAAGTGGGAGAGGGAAGAGGAGGGAGCCAGAGTTCTCCGCAAGGTGAACTCCGCTCTCTCTGCTAGAACTGCCTGCCCAGCCCCGCTTGCTGGGTGACCTTGAGCTGCTGCTGCCCCCTCTCAGCCCCGTGCTCTGCCTTACCCCAAGGGAACACGTGATCACTTTGACCTGGCCCTGCCTTGGACACCTGTTTTTGCTCTCCTGGTTCTGTGAAAAGAGGAGGGAATGGTTGGCTCTGAAACAGGGGAAGGGCCTGAGCAGTAAGATGCCAGGCGGCCCACTCCTCCCTGCCACCCCCAGGGGTGGGGAATAATGCTGCTGAGGCTCAGCCTCATGCCACCCTGGGTAGGGCCTGATGGCACTGACATTCTCTACATTTTTGTCCCAGCAGGGATGCTCAGGACATCTTCCTCCCACCTCTCCCCTCCCAGCCTGGATGACCTCCTTCCTCGAGGGACCAGGGAAGAGGGGCAGAGAGCAGAACTGTGGAAGAGTCACAGATGAAAGTGTCTCTAACCCCTATCTACCCAAAAAGGGGCAGCCGCCCAGAGGGAGATGGTATGGGGACCTGGGACAAGAAACCAGGAGATAAGGGACCCCCTGGGAGCTAGGGCAGGTTGGTGACTCTATCTCAAGCCAGGCTGATGGAGAAGGGGCAGCTGAGACTGAGGGCAGGGCAACTGTTAAAAAAGCCCCCTCTAACTCAGTCACCCCAGCCTTTACACTGACACCCCAGTTGTTCAGGGCCCCACATTGAATCTGGAGAGATCCAAAGGGAGGGGCAGACAAACTGGTCTTTGAGGAGATTCCCAGCTAAGGCAGGACCACCCTGTTAGACTCTGAGGTTGGGAGCTGCATCTTGCACAT